CTTCTGCGCAAGCCAAAAGCCTCACTTGAGAACTCTGTTGTTCTATACCACCACGACAGAGCTATCTCGGAAACATATTGAGGAACTTCCCTAATTCTTCCTACTGTTGCCGATTTCCATTTGATTAATGCCAGCAGTTAACTCGGCTACCTACCCTGCTAGCTGCGCTCCTTCATAAGCATTGTATCCATCTGGAGTTGAACTACACAATAGTCACGAGCGTTCACCTGTGACCTCACTGTAGTTTTACGTTCCACTTCGGCTATTCTTCTTCGCCTTGCCATACCAACGGCATACTGAGAGCTTTCTGTACCTATTTGGCTTGTTCATATGATTTATTCATTTAATTTTTCCATTATTTGCTTCAGTTAAGACGATTTTATGTTTAATTGTTTTATATTTTAAGATGTTTGTTTACATTCAATGAAAATTGTTTTCCTTATTATAATGTTCTCTTGTCATATGGAGGTGGGTGCTCCTTCGAAAGATCTTTTGAGGATTTGAAGGGCCCTTGCACCGTAAGTTCATTGTTGTAATAACTCAGTATAACTCAGTTACAGCGTCCGGAAATTATATCATTGATGTTAAACAATGGCAGTAGATGGAGAGAGGCGAGGAATGATGAATCAAAGAATCAGGTTGTCTTTCATTAACTGGTGCCACAAACACCGTGTTTTGGCTAAGCTAAGCTTGATTAATCTAAATTATTTTTACGCTAATTTCAGCAAGATTAGGTCTCAACTGTGAGTTACCTGTGAAAGGTTTCAAGAGTTTTTCTTCTCTCGCGGCTCTGTCTAGGGCCAAATCTTCCTCTTGATTACCTATTCAATCAGGTTGTTGAGATTGTGGCTCGCCGACCCAGGAATTCATCACAACCTGCTTGATCTTGCACACCAGAGGCAATGCGTTATATTCCTCTTTAGGGTTTCCACTCTCATTCCGGCAACATTTTTAATATCTGTTGGTACCAAGTTACATAAACGAGACTCGTGCTATTCACTGTCTGCTTTACTCTCCCTTTCCTATCTGTCTTTCAGTACGTTATGGAAATGTGCATCTTTGCTCTAGTGAGCGCATTCTTTGAGGCACATTTTCAGGGCCGTCTTCTGCTAAATTTCTCTTGTGTACCTGTGTGTATTTGTGTTGGTGAGTATTCATTTGTGAATGTGTGAGCGTCCGGGGTAGAACACAAATATTCAGAGACATGCGTGTGCGCGCGCACACGCACGCACTGTCGTATCTACACAGGAATTCTCTCGTGGAATGATTTAGAATTCAATTTCAGTTTATGCTGTCGAGGTGGTAAACCTGGCAAACCGTACTGTGTGTTCATGTCAATTCTGTCATTCCTTGTCTTGTATATCCTGGCCATATCTCCTCTCCACCTACATGATATTCGGGTAATCAAATATTTAAATTGCTTAGTATAGACAATTCTGTAAATAAATACCATTTAGTAAGGCTAATATAATCTGCATACAACGTTTGACTCTTCATGTTTACTTAAGCAAACATAAATACACGAGTACACACATACCTCAGGCAGAGGAAAAAAATACACGAGAACATATATATTCGTCACATACGAGTAAATAGAGGAAGGTGGCATTAAAACGTGTTGTTGCTGTGATGATGGTAATGGACAAGGCAAACACTCCTAACGTAGAGACATTATCTTACCCAACACGAGAGAGGTCAGAGGTGATGCAATATGTAACAATCCTTTGTCTTGGTCGCTTCTTTCCTGTATGTACGTGTATTAGTTATCATGTACACAAAACCATAATACGGTTGTGTGAATGCATTCTTGTATGGGTGTGTGCGCGCGCGTGCGTGTGTTCTTACCCATTTGTATTTGAAAGGGTCGATTCACAGCTCCTGGCCCCTCCTTTTCGCTGGTTACTATTAGGTCCACTTTCTCCCTACTCTTTTTAAAGCTATGTATGGATTCTGCCTCCTACATCACTCTCCAAATTGTTCCACTTCCTGGCAGCTCCAGAGCTAAAGAAATACTGTCTAACATCTCAAACTCATCTGAGTCTTCAGCTTCCAGTTGTGACCCTTTGTTGCTCTGTCCCATTTCTGAAGCATCCTCTCCCTATCTACCTTGTCAATTCCTCTCAGTATTTTATGTCCTTATTATGTTCCACCTATCTCTCATGTCTTCCAGTGTCGTCAGGTCAATTTTCTTTACTCTCATCGTAGAACATACTGGTGCTGCATACTCCAATATGGGCCTGACTTACAAGGTGTACAGTCTTGACCGATTCCTTGCTAAGGTGTCTAAACGCTATTCTTGGGTTTGTCAGACTCTCTTTTGTAGCAGCAGTTATCTGGTTGATGTGTGCCTCAGGAGATGTGCTCTGCATTATACTCACTCCAAGATCCTTTTCCTTGAGTGAGGCTTGCAGTCTTTGGCTCCGCTAGCCTATACTCAGTCTGCATTCTTCTCTGACCTACCCCAATCTTCATGGCTTTACACTTGGTGGCGTTAAACTTCCGGAACAAGTTGTTGGACCAAGTTTGCAGCCTGAGCAGATCCCTTTGTAGTTCTACCTGATTCTCATCCATCTGAATTCTCCGCATTAGCTTCACGTCGTCTGTAAACAGGGACACGTCTGAATCTATCCGTTCCGTTACATCATTCACATGTACCAGAAACAGTACCAGCCTTAGAACTGACCCTTGTGAAACCCCACTTGTCACAAGCACTCACCATGCCACCTCGTCACGTACCATCACTCGTTGTTTCCTTCTTGTCAGGTATTCTCTGATCCATTGCAGTGCCTTTCCTGTTATTCCTGCCTGATCATCTCGCTTTTGCACTAATCTCTTGTGTGGAACTGAGTCGAAATCTTTCTTACAGTCCAAGAAAACGCAGTCTATCCATCGGTCTCTCTCCTTCCTTCCTTCTTTCACCTTATCGTAAAACTCCAGTATGTGTGTGACACAGGATTTCCCCTCCCTAAAACCGTGCTAGTTATCGTGTATAATCTCGTTCCTTTCTAGGTGCTCCACCAGTTTTTTCCTGTTAAGCTTCTCGATGATTTTGCATAGTGTACATGTCAGTCGCACTGCTCTGTAGTTTAATGCCACCTGCCTGTCTCCTTTCTTAAAGATTAGGACTACGTTTGCTGTCTTCTTCACCTCAGTTAGTTGCCCTGTTTTGATAGACGTGTTGAAAATTGTTATTGGAACACAGTGCCTCTGCTCCTTGTCTCAGAACCCACGGAGAGATGTCTGGTCCCACCGCCTTTGAGGTATCTAGCTCACTCAGCCTCGACTCGGTTGTGTAGTGTGTCGAGCACTTGTTGGTGTACACTATCATTAAATTTTATTGTAGTCCAGTTTGTCTCCAGAAAATACTTAAATAAATCGCGTGATTAGCTCTTCACATACTTTGTCGTTTGTTGTGATCTCCCCTCCTTCCTTACCCAGCCTGATTACCTGGTTCTTGACTATTGTTTTCCTCCTGATGTGGCTGTACAATAGCTTTGGGTCAGATATGGGTTTCGATGACATGTCATTCTCGTATTGCCGCTGGGTCTTCCTCCATATTCAAGCATATTCATTTCTGGTTCTTCGGCTAATCTCCTTATTTTCCTGGGTTCCTTCTTTTATACTTTTTTTTCCATTTTCTTTCGCGTTTAGTTTTGGCCTCTCTATACTTTAGGGTGAACTTAGGGCTCGTTCTAATCTTCCCATTGATTCTACTTCCCTTGGTACGAACTTCTCCTCCGCCTCTTCGCATTTTGTGGTGACATATTACATTATTTCATTCCTCATTTTCCCACCAGTTCTCTCTTCCACTGTACCTCATGTAGGAAATTCTGCATACCTGTATATTCCTCTCTTTTATAGTTTGGCTTGTCCCATCCTATTTGTGCTGATTCCCTCTTTACTTTTAGCACTACAATGAATTCGAAGCTCAGGACCACGTGCTCATTAGCTCCGGGGCCTTTCACATGTAAAGTCCTCACTGTATCAAATACTCAAGGTGAATATGAGGTTCAGCCTTGGCGGTTCATCCTCTCCTCTCTCTCTCTCTCTCTCTCTCTCTCTCTGCTAGTGTCTTAATATGTCATCTTGGCCTCTATGTTTCTTTTCCCCTGTGTATCTCCATGTTTTCCCAGTCAGTCTCCTTGTGATTGAAATCATCCACAATTAGTAAGTTTGCCCTACTCATGTTGGCCCTTCTTTCAACGTCAACCATTGCTCTGTTGTGCTCATCGTACTCTTGTCTTTGCTTTCTGCGCTTCAGTGGCAGGTTGTACATCACCGCAATCACCACCCTGGGACCCCCAGTCGAAGGTGTCCCTACTATGTAGTCCCCTGCTTCTCTTCTGTCCCATCCTTCCAACTCACAACTCCATTGGTTTTTGATGAGCAGTGCAACTCCTCTTTCCCCTCTCTCTTTCCTCATATGATATCCGGTTGGAAAGATCTCATCTGTTATAATGCCCATCAGCTTGGTTTCAGTGAGTGCTGTGATAACTAGGGATGCCTCCATGATTCTTTATTGCCACTTCTCACACTTATTTGTTATTCCGTCTGCGCTGGTGTACCATACTGTCATCTTCTTTTCCAAGAATGTATTCTGGGGGGTTTATGGGGGCTGTGTGTGTGTGTGTGTGTACTCACCTAGTTGTGGTTGCAGAGGTCGAGTCATAGCTCTTGGCCCCGCCTCTTCACACGCTGTTTGTGTGTGCGCGCGTGCGTGCGTGCGCGGGGGAGCGTCGTCTGCACTCATTTTTTGTTTGTTTTTGTGCTTAAGCGTGCGTGCTTACATGCTTATGTGTTTGCTCGTTTTGGCGTAAGCGTTTGTGTGGGTGGTGTGTGCATTAGTGTGCGTATGCAAGGGCATGTGAATATACGATCGTGCACCTGCACGTGCGTGCATGTGTGTATGCACATGTATGTGCACGTCTGATAGTTTGCACAATGTTTATATTTGGTTATAAATAACTTTATGCAAAATTAGAGGACGCTGTGAGCTAGCTTCACTCTGCTATCTGAATAGCCAGCAAGCAAAGTCTGAACGGCAGGAGAACACTCCAGGTTAACACGCAACAAGCATCAGTCTCGAGCTGAAACCACAAAACACAAACTAACAACTTTGTGTATATTAAAATAAGAAGGTACTAGCTTTACATGGACATTTAATTAAGCCTCAGCATCCATTAATCATCTGAGGCTGCCAATTGGTGGTTTCAGAGCTATGGCGAAAATGAAACTCTTCGCCACACCAACAATGATTTATGTTACAAGTTCCTTGTGATATGTCTTGTGGGACTTTGAGGACTTGGCAAAGTTGATTAACAAAAGTGGATCCAGTCATGTGTTAGTGTCTCGCTTCTCCAATCTCTCGGTTTGTGTCTTATATTTCCTGCGCAGTTCTTTCTGTTCCGTCTAGATTTAAATCGTGTTATAGTAAAAGTATTTTATAACTACTTTTCTTACTTTACTGTCGTCAACTGTTCTTTCAGTATCCTGCAGCTCGTGAATGATTTGGCGGAACTTATTAAGTTTTCTCTTGAAGATAAGTACGGCACTGCTATTAAATTATTTTTATTTCATAAGCTACAATAAGAGGCTTTGGGCTGTGATCTTTTCTTTATTTTGCTCCATTAAATTACTACATTCCTAAAACTTATTAGAGTTGTTCTGTTTTGTTCCTTACGCTCTAACTGGGAATTATTTCAGTCTCTAGCCTTAGAATATGTCCTTCCAGTACATCTCAAATAAAGTTGACAAAACTCTTACATCAGTAATCTTTGTAGATATTCAGATATTCAGATATTCGAGAAGCTCTGTTACTAAGCTTTAACATTTACTCTAATGCGGTTGTGGTCCAGTTGCGATTCGTAAAGGTATAGCATTATTTATCTTTAATGGATTATTTTGCCTTGGAATTATTTGAATGCCTCTCTAAATACGCTGTATGACCTTCTACGCTTAAGTGCTCTTCTCTATTTAATATGTAGCAATTGTTAACGGCAGCTATTTAAATAGCCGACGCATTATATAAAATGGACGGAACGTTTTACTGGTTAAGGCTGTGTAGACATAAATTTTGTTAGATTCTGTGAAATAACTGAAAAAAAACATCTGCTGATGATCCTTATACTTGATAATAGTTGAGTAAGTTACCATGTGCCAATTTTATTAATCAAATTTGTCGCTATGAAATAATTGGGGAATGTCTCTCCTGATCAGAAATAAGTCAGTGTTTGATTTTATTCGGTAACCCTAGGTTAAATCATCATAATGTTCTTATGTGTGCCTGTAACATGTCTGTGCTACACAAGACTATTGTTAATAACTTGTGTTATGAACAATAAGGTTATATAAAACTTTCATACTTACTTGAAGTACCTTCTTAAAATCTGGTTAGTTTTATTTGGAGAAAAGATTGAATTGATTTCGACTTACTGGGTCCCATTTTCCTTTTTTTTTCGAAAAATTAGAAAAACTGAAATGTTGGTTTTCAAGTGATAATCTCCGAGTGTCGGATCTGGTTACTTTCGAGATCCTTGCTGATATCTTGATAATACAATTTCTGAGTGACTTCAAGATTAATGAGTTTGTGTATTTCAGGATATTGGTCTTTTTGCTTTATTTGAAAGGTTTGAATTAGGTTTGGGCTGTGTATATCCAAATTTACAATATTTTATTGAAGAAATTTCGATATTAGGTTGCTAATGATGAGGTGTGAATGCCTCTTCTGACTTCCTTTATACCTTCCACGTTATTAGTTAACTTCTTTATAAACTTATGCAGCAATTTGCACTATTCCAAACATGTGCAATGAGGCACGGGACACTGGGTGTCATGGAATACGGGGTTACTTTTTTTGGATCACGCAACAACCAGAATACATCTAGTTTGTCTTCAAGAATGTTGGGAAGAAAAATGGAACGTCTTCTGCACTGTGGATGTGCGGAATAGTTCGGCATCCAGAGTTTAAGCTTCATCTGAGGTAATTGCTACTTCATCTGTTTCCGGCATATTTATATTTAAGGAGAGGGTTGGGTGAGGTTGGGGTTATTTAATTGTCTCTTTGAGGTCTTAGTCATGGTTGGGGAAATAGTAATGGGTCGATGAGAAGACATTAAGAAACTCTGGGTTGGCTTCCCTTTCTTCCAGGTCTCCCTGTATCTTCTGGATTGTCTCCTAACTAATGGACTCGGATCAAATGACGTCTTTTTATTTTGTTCTTTAGATCTCCCAACAGAGTTTCCGCTCTGCCCCTGTCTAGGTAAACACGACAGTTAATCTTTCTTGTCTCACTGAACTGCTGTCCCACTTAAGATTTTCTTTCAGAAAATTAAGGTTATTAATACAACCTTGATCAGGCAGTATTTTCTCCTGGAATATTTGTTCTGCCTTACAGGGTTGAAATTTTATTTGTTACATCTTTTCATCCAATATTTTTTATGATCATTCGAAATTCATTACCATCAATTTACTTTTTAATAAATTCTTCTACAGCCTCAACGAGCCTATAAAACATCAGGTAATCATCCTCCTCCTCCTCCTCCTCCTCTCTCTCTCTCTCTCTCTCCTCTCCTCTCTCTCTCTCTCTCTCTTCTCTCTCTCTTCTCTTCTTCCTTCTTTTTCTTCTTCCTCTTACGGTCTCTCTTAAAACATTTTCATTGTTTAACTTCTAGCGAGCACCTTGGTAAAGAAATTTTTACTCACACTCTCTTCCATTCTCTGCTCTTTCTATAATGTCCCTAATTCGCTCAACATTTTCTCAATTTTATAATACCTTTCTTTCGTTGATCACATTGTTCAGCCATTTTCGTCCTATTCTGCTCCTTTTCATTTACTCTTTGAAGTCTTGTTTATTTATTTATTCAATGTCCTAAAGGTGTGGATGTGTGTTTAATCACCTGCAGTGGTCATGTGTGTGTGGGTGTGTACTCATCTAGTTGTACTCACCTAGTTGAGGTTGCAGGGGCCGAGTCCTAGCTCATGGCCCCACCTCTTCACTGGTCGCTACTAGGTCACTCTCCCTGAACCGTAAGCTTAAAGCTATGTATGGATCCTGCCTCCACTACATCGCTTCCCAAACTATTCCACTTCCTGATAACTCTGTGGCTGAAGAAATACTTCCTAACATCCCTGTGATTCATCTGTGTCCCCTTGTTGCTGTGTCCCATCTCTGGAACATCCTGTCTTTGTCAACCTTGTCAATTCCTCTCAGTATTTTGTATGCCATTATTATGTCCCCCTTATCTCTCCTGTCCTCCAGTGTCGTCAGGTCGATTTCCCTTAACCTGTCCTCGTAGGACATTCCCCTTAGCTCTGGGACTAGTCTTGTTGCAAACCTTTACATCTCTAGTTTCTTTACGTGCTTGGCTAGGTGTGGGTTTCAAACTGGTGCCGCATACTCCAATATGGGCCTAACGTACACGGTGTACAGGGTCCTGAACGATTCCTTATTAAGATGTCGGAATGCTGTTCTGAGGTTTGTTAGGCGCCCATATGCTGCAGCAGTTATTAGGTTGATGTGCGCTGCAGGATATGTGCCTGGTGTTATACTCACCCCAAGATGATCTTCCTTGAGTGAGGTTTGTAGTCTCTGGCCCCCTAGACTGTACTCCGTCTGCGGTCTTCTTTGCTCTTCCCCAATCTTCATGACTTTGCACTTGGTGGGGTTGAACTCCAGGAGCCAATTGCTGGACCAGGTCTGCAGCCTGTCCAGATCCCTTTGTAGTTCTGCCTGGTCTTCGATCGAGTGAATTCTTCTCATCAACTTCACGTCATCTGCAAACAGGGACACTTCGAGGTCTATTCCTTCCGTCATGTCGTTCACAAATACCAGAAACAGCACTGGTCCTAGGACTGATCCCTGTGGGACCCCGCTGGCCACAGGCGCCCACTCTGACACCTCGCCCTGTACCATGACTCGCTGCTGTCTTCCTGACAAGTATTCCCTGATCCATTGTAGTGCCTTCTGTTATCCCTGTATGGTCCTCCAGTTTTTGCACTAATCTCTTGTGTGGAACTGTGTCAAACGCCTTCTTATAGTCCCAGAAAATGCAATCCACCCACCCTTCTCTCTCTTGTCTTATTGCTGTCACCCTGTCACGTGTGTGTGTGTGTGTGTGTGTGTGTGTGTGTGTGTCGATTAGACACTAGGCCTATTGTATATGCGCGCGCGCGCGCGTGTGTGTGTGTGTGTGTGTGTGTGTGTGTGTGGTGTGTGTGTGTGTGTGTGTGTGTGTGTGTGTATGTGTGTGTGTGTGTATTCACTCATAGAAATGTGGTTGCAGGAGTCTAGTTTCAGATCCTGGTACTCCCTCTTTGCTAACCGCTACTTTGTTCACTCTTCTAGAGTCGAGAGGCTTATCGTACCTCGTCTTAAAGTTGTGTATGGATCTTTTCTCTACTGCTCTACTGTACAGGTCCTTCCACTTCCTGAATACTCTGGGGCAGAAGAAATACTTCATAATGACTCTTCTGTGTTTTCAACTTTAAGCTGTGCCTTAGTTTTCTATTTTCCGTCTCTGGAACAATCAGCCCTATCAGTTCATCTCTGTATTTTCTACAGTGTAATCATATCACCTCTATTCTTTCTTTCCCCTAATATCATCAGATTTAGGTCACTTAATTTCTCCTAATAGGACATTGCCCTTAGTTCTGGGACTAGTATTGTTACAAACCTTTGCACGTTCTTCAGTTTGTTGACATACTCATACACCATTATGAGCTTGACGTATGCAGTATGCAGTGTTGTGAATGATTCCTCGCTTAAATTTCTGAAAGCGAGTCTCAGATATGACAGTCGCGCATTTGCTACAGAAGTTATTTGGGTGATTCTCAGTGTAATGCTCGCTCTCGAAGTCCTCATTGGGTAATGTTTGGTTTGTCCCCTAAGCCTGTACTCTCTCCCCAGTCTCCACGGCTTACACTTGCTGGGGTAAAAATCTAGCAGCCACCTGTCAAACCAGACATACAGTCTTTCCAGTTTCATTTGAAATCTTTTCTGATCATCTCCTTGTATTCATATCATGCTTCACATTAATTGGAAACAGGGATATATCTGACTCTCTTCCGTCACGTTGTTCAGGTATACAAGAAACAGTACCGATACACAAATAACCCGCACATAAAAGAGAGAAGCTTACGACGACGTTTCGGTCCGACTTGGACCATTGACTACTACTACTACTACCACCACCACCTCTTCCTGCCTATATATAGGCGTCCTGCTCCACCTCTGGTTAGTGTGACTTTGTCAATGGTCCAAGTCGGACCGAAACGTCGTCGTAAGCTTCTCTCTTTTATGTGCGGGTTATTTGTGTATCGTTCCAGTCACAGTATTGTGCCTTTTTTGTTAGTTATTTAACAGTACCGATCCTATTACTGATCCTTGTGGAACCAAACACGTGGCATGCGCCCGTTCCGATACCTTTTCCCTGTTAAAAAGTATGCCCTGATGCAATTCAGTGCCTTCCCTGTTATTCCAGCCTGCTTCTCAACCTTTTTGTCACAGTCTCTTGTGTGGTACTGTGTCGAAAGCTCTTTTTACAGTCCAGAACTATGCATTCTTGTCATCCTTCTCTCTCTCCTGCCTAACTACTGTTACCTTGTCGCATAACTAGTGTAAATAAATTAAAAAATGGGTTGAGCTCAAGCTAAAGGAAAGCGAGACCTAAAATTTGCAAACCAGAGAGCAATTTGTTTGCAACGTGTTATTACGATTCCGTAAATCAACTGCAATAAGTTTATAAAACTGCACTTACGATTCCGTGGTTCTTGTCGTTTATAAACCCACTCCCTTCTAGGTGCTCCACCTTTCTTCTGCTGATTATTTTCTGCATAACCTTTCATAATATGCATGTCAGTAACACTGGCCTGTGGTTTAACGTTACCTACTTGTCTCCTTTCCTAAACATTAGCAAAACATTTGCTGCCTTCCACACCTCTGGTGGTTTTCCCCATTCGATTGATTTGACGATTGTGGATGTTGGCTCAAAACAGTGCTGTGTGTTTGTGTTTAAAGTCAGTTTCATTCACTGCATTCTGTTAAGTTTCCTACCTTTTTTTATCCTATTCCTTCTTTTTCAAGTTGCCTTCATTATTTCTCGCTTCTCTATGGGATCAGTTTAAAAAAATCAGCCAATACACCACTTACACGTTACTTTTTGCTATTGTTTTCTATTATCTCTATCATATTAATTTATTAAATATTAACAATTTCTCTCTTGCCTTCTGCTGGATCTATATACGTCTCTTTTATGGGCTACAACAGAGCAAGACAACGCATTGTAAATTATAGCTAATTTCAGAGTAGAACGTTAATTACGTCCCTCTTAGGCACATTTCCTGGCACCACTACTTACCTTCCTCCAGTTGAAGCGCTTCAGAATAGAGGTGACGGACTTGCTGATCTGGTTGTCTGGTGGTCTCGTCCTGGCGAAAGTTGGGAAACTCTCCTTGTCTGACGTTTCCGGGTGGGTGCAGAACTGTTGGTACAGAAGGGAAGATTCATTATTATAATTATACTAAGTTGCAGAATGGTACTTACTCGCTGATAATGGGTATGAAAGAAATCCTAAATTTAAGTATAAGAGATGTCGGATACTATGCAAATTACTTGTGAACGATAATTTGTGCATGAGTCAGCGAGAGTCCTGGCTATTATTACCCTCATTTTAGGTGCTAAATCCTTGTGGGTCATACAGTATAGACGAGGTAAAATTATTAAATGTGAAATGAACAAGTGGTTCATTTCTACACCCTCCTACCTTGTCAGGAGGTGGGTGTAGAGGGCTCGAGCTCCAGCACCCGGCCTGACAGAAAGTGGATGTAGGTTCTAATGCTCCTGATTGTCAAGTGACAGGTATTGCGGACACATGCCCCACCTGCCTTATCAGGAGGCAGGTGGGGGACTCGTGTCCCTGCACCTGCCTTATGAGGAGGCAGGTATTGGGGACACGTACCTCTGCACCTGCCTTATTAGGAAGCAGGTGTGAGGGACTCATGCCCCTACACCTGCTTTATTAGGAGGCAGGTGTGCGGACTCATGCTCCTGCACCTGCCTTATCAGGAGGCAGGTGTGGGGGGCTCATTTTCTTGCACCCAGGTTATGAGGGCTTAATTGTAAACATCTCATGCCTTAGAAACTCAAAAATTTTATTATAATTTATCTTAGAATTGTTTTGACATGTAAACAACTGTATGTCAGGATTTCCGAGTCATTAAATCTAAGAGACTGAGGGGCAGGATCTGAATAATTTTTTTCATCCTACACTAAGATGAAGACAAAAAAATGAAAACGAAATGAATAAAACTTTTGAAACCGGTTTTAAACTTGGTAAGTATCGTGCCATATTTGCTAAGTGATCAGGAATAAGTCGAAGGTAGCAGTGAGAGAGAGACAACAGAGAAATACTCTTCCATCATTTCTCAGCTGTCTATTATAGGATTTCTGCACAGATATGAGAACAAATATTGAGGGAAAATTCTAGCATTGGAATGCTTTCCGCTATACATATATTAGACTGATCTGATATATATCTACATAGTTCTGAAAAAAATGTGCTAATATGTAATAAATTTGTAATTTTTATTTTTTCATGTAGTCAACGCTCATGTTTAACATCTTTCAGGTTTAAGTTTACTGGAGCATAAACAGAAAGAAAAGTAGAATGTTACAGGTATTTAAATATTTTAATGTAATGATGAAATATTTTAATTTTGAAGGGAAGATTTTTTATGGGGTCAACAACGCTAAATTTGCTTCGTATGAATACCCACCAACAGTTGTACAGTTTCGATGTTTTATTACCTATTGCACATACTGTATGTTAGTGTGTAATCTACCACATTAATCTGTTCAGATGACTAATTAAATCTAGTTTGGCTCACATGTTTTTGCATATTTTATGTGAATACCAAAAATTAGGGTGGTATGACTAGTAATAAAAAATTTTTTTTCACATTTGGTTTGGATGACTTCTTTAGAATATTATTTTATTTATTATTATTATTGTTAACATATAGGCCGTTTCCCACCAAGGGAAACGGCGTACCCTTGGTGGGAAACGTTTCCCACCAAGGTTTTATACCTGTAGTGTTAGCATGCCAGAGGCATGCTAACACTACAGGTATAAAACCGCAACATTAAACTTCCTGCAAGCGTGCGTGAGCGTGTTAGATATGAGCAAATGGAGACAAATGGTTTTTAAGACTTGACGTGCTGTTGGAGTGCAAGCAAGGTAACATTTATGAAGGGATTCAGGGAAACCGGCAGGCTGGACTTGAGTCCTGGAGATGGGAAGTACAGTGTCTGCACTCTGAAGGAGGGGTGTTAATTAAACCCCTCGCACGTAAAACCTTCTTTACCCCCTCCCTTCAACCTTTCCTCGTCCGACCCCTACCCCGCCTTCCCTCCACTACAGATTTATACACTCTCGAAGTCATTCTATTTTGTTCCTTTCTCAGCCATCTAGATAATAACTTTGGTAATCCTGCACCTCCTCCTAATCCAAACTTTGAATTCCCTGAATTACATTCCCACCACACAGTGCCCTCAGACACCACATCTCCACTGCCTCCAGCCTTCTCCATGTACCAACATTTACCATCCATGCTTCACACCCATGTAAGAGCGTTGGTATAACTAGACTCTTATACATTCCCCTCTTTGCTTCCATGGACAAAGTTCTCTGTCTCCACATACTCCTCAGTGCACCACTCACCTTTTCCCACTCGTCAATTCTATGTTTTACCTCATCTTTCATAAACCCATCTGCTGACACGTCCACTTCTAAATATCTGAATACATTCTCCTCCTCCATACTCTCTCCCTCCAATCTGATATCCAATCTTTCGTTACCTAATTATTTTTTAGCCTCGTCACCGTGCTCTTTCCTATTCACTTTTAATTTTCTTCTTTTACATACCATACCAAACTTATACACCAGCCTCTGCAACTTCTATTCAGAATCTCCCAAAAGCACAGTGTCATCAGCAAAGAGCAACTGTGACAACTCGCACTGTGTTAGATTCTTATCTTTTAACCCCACACCTCTTGGTATGGTTTGTTTGCAATCGTGTCATTACGATTTCGTGAGTTATTTACTTCTCTTACAAACCCATCTATGTTTATAAATATGATTAATATTCTATATAAATATATAGAAAATATTAATCATATTTTATACAACACTGTAGTAAAGGGTACGCTAATTTATTAGTTTATATAGACGATTTTTTGCTATTATTTGCGTTTCTTGAAGAATTTTGTTAAAAGATAATTGGTTTTCCCGTAGATTCTTTGTTCAGTATTAAGGGAGACATGTGAGAATATTTGGTGTTAATTACGTGGTCTTGGGTGAAAATGTTCAGCAGAATTTCAATTTCCTTCCTTCACCCAGACATTTCCCGCTATCGTACAAACGTATTTTGAAGTTTTGATTTATATGTATACGAGAACGTTTGCACCTGTATATAGTATTTATATAAATACTGCTGGTAAATTTATATGTAAACAATGAAGGTGAGTTAGGTGTTGATTTTGGAAGAAACGCCTCATTGTTGGATTTAGTATTACATCATATTTATGCAGTAGTTGGCTTCTAAAATATCTAAGGAAGTGTGACTTTTTTTATTTTTGATTCATAACTAGACAGAAAATTGTGTAAATTTAGGATAATATTCTTATAGTTGTTAGTGAATAGACCATCAAGTGTATTTAGTGATTTCTACACATTGTGATATTTAATGGAAATACATTTATACTTGCCAGAGTCTCTGTTAGTAAAGAACTATTTTAAATTTATTGAAGCGGGTATGAGCATAGGGTATGTGCATAAAAACGAAAACTGTAATTAAGAGTTTGAAAATAAAAGCTTGGATTATCTTTTACCTTGAGCGATCTTCTTATGTTTGTTGTGAGGATTTAAGATCTCGGGCAATATCTGAGAATCTTTATTCTCAGAATAAAGAATAATAGACTCCCAAATGCTGGCAAGTGCATCAGTTACCATGTAGTCGGTTTTCTAAACAATTTATACAAATTTAAGATATTGTATATTGAGATAGTAGAGTGCAGTAGCGAGCGAGTGCTTGTCCTGGGTGGATCTGCGTTTTGCTGACTTCAGTTTTGAAGAATCCTGAAACTGTTATAGGTGAAGGACACCGTTAAATGTAACTATGTGATTAAATGTCATTGATTGTTTTGTATTATATATTATTGTACATAACCAAACAGTTAAATGTTATGTATCTTAAAAGTATGATGGCAGATTGATTTATGGCGCCTTTTGCTTCAAGTAAGAGAGACTGGTTTTTTGTATTTTTATCATATTTAGGGACAGACTATCACGCTTCTACTGAAACCACCACAACCTTGACAGCCTCTACCAACACCATGGCTACTACCACAAGAACCGTCGCTATTTCTAACACAGCCACTAACACAACGTTTCTCTCACCACCAACACGATCACTAAACCAACCCCCAATTACTCTCACTACCACTTATTCCAAAACCACTTCCCGAGTCATTAGCATTACCAGCACACCAACCGTTACTTCAAGCACAACTACTGAAACCACCACTATTACCACCAAAACCGCCACCAACGCCACCGCCACCACCACCACCACACCACCACCACCACCACCAACACAACCACCACCACCACCATAAACACCATTTCATCTATCAACAACACAACCATTACCACCATCACAAATACAGCAACAACCATGACTACCAGGATCACTTCCACCATTACTACAACCACCATTCCACCTACCACCATCACCACAACAACCACCACCTCATGCGTTTAAAAGAATTTTCGGCAGCAGTTTTGGTCCATTTGCATAAGGGATTTACACGTCACTCAGGTGAAGAAGTTTCCATCTGCCTGCATTAACACACTGAAAAATATGGGAAGGAGGAGTCAAGGAGCACACGAGGAGGAGAGAATGAAAAGAAGAGGGAGCGAGAGAATGAGAAGCAGAGGGAACGAGAGAATGAGAAGCAGAGAGAACGAAAGAATGAGAAGCAGAGAGAATGAGAAGAGGAGGGAACGAGAGGAGAAGAGGTGGGAACGAGACAATGAGAAGAGGAAGGAACGAGACAATGAGAAGAGGGAACGAGAGAAGGAGAAAAGGTGGGAACGAGAGAATGAGAAGAGAAGGGAACGAGACAATGAGAAGAGGGAGCGAGAGAATGATGAGGAATGAAAAGAGGAGAGAATGAGAAGAGGAGAGAGGTAGCAGGAGAATGAGGAAAGGAGAGAGAATGAGGAGAATAAAATTATTATAATTATTATTTTAATTGTTATTAGGTAAGCGCGAAAGAAGACCATTAAATAGTTGTTTGATTCACCCCCTTTCTTTTATCTCTGTGTTCTCCTTCCAACTTATCGTTGTTATTTCACTCATAACACGAGTAGACTTCATCCGATCGGCTTCAAATTTTAAAAGCTGGTATATGGTAACTAGA